ACTTTAGTTAGTAGTTACTGCTTTTTAATTGCATTACTTTTGGTCAAGCATTGCCCCCAACAACCCGCCTCCTCAGTTCCTGTATCATGCTGTAACCAGGCCACCATTTTATGAAATTATACAATTATATATAAACATATGTTTAAAACTAAAACTAATACATATATATATTAGTTTTATTTTTTATTTATTTATTATTTTATATATATATATAATAAGTACTATTTCATATTTAAAAAACTTTAAGAAAAAATCTAATCCTATTAGTTGGCACCTTGCTATGCTTGCCTGTGTCATTGATCCTTGAGCTATTCTGACTGGAGACCGATCTCTTTTCATGTTTTTAAGCTTTTAAAAAGGACTCTTTGACAAATAAAATATATATATGCTTGAACACACCTTGACAATGAAGAGTCATACACAAGTGTTACTTTTGTTGAACAATGCACAATTGTTATAGTTCAATCTAGCCGCCCCACTATATGCATTGATTGATAAACATGGATCAGCTACAGCGTACACAGAGGCAGGGAAGAAAGGAAAGAAGGAAAAAGAAAATAAGGAAGGAAAGAAGAAGAACGTAGAGCGTGGAGAACAAAAATGAAGAATAAAGAGGAATGAGGAAAGGAAAGCAGAGAGAGGGAATAAGAACAGAAAGAAGAAGGAAAGGATGGAACGAAAAATAAAAGAATAAAGTCTGATGTGAGGAGAGATAAAAGGAATAAAGAGTGGAGACTTAAAGAGCGATATTCAAGGGTTAAGAGAAACAGGAAGGTATACAGGAGGAAATGTAGGGAAAAAAGAAGAAAGGAAGGAATAAACACTCAAATGTTTGGCACAAGGAGGGAAGAAAATGAAGGGAAGAAAATAAAACAAATGCATAAGAGGGAAGACATTAATGAAGGTGGAAAAGCTGGAAAAAAAGGATGAATGAAAGAGAAGTGAAACTGGGAAGGAAGGAAGCAAAACAGAAATAACCAAATGAATGGGCAAGAGAAACGGTCCTTGTCAAGTTTCAAGTGACTTTATGGGTGAAAGACAGAAATAAAAGAGCTGTCACTTCACTGTGATTCCCAGTTGAGCCTTTGAATGGATGACTGGCTTCACCACGATACTCGCTGACCTGCATAACAGCCACCGATTAACACATTGTCACATCTGATGCCAACTTGATCCAGCAACAAAGAGGGGGGGTGGGGTTGGTCATAGTAATAATGTGTGTGGGAGACAGACAGAAAAACAGACAGATATTGAGAAAGAAAGAAGAAGTAAATAGGAATACAGCTCTAGTGCCATGAGCCAAAACATGAGTGTGTGTGTGTGTGTATGGGGGTGGTTGCAGTGACAAGACAGTGACAGTAGGTGTGTAACTAATGATGCCACCTTATAATGAGGCCGACACAACAGTTCACACTCACACATTTCCATTGCATGACCCTCATTATTCCCCTGTGGATTTATGGCAGCAGACTGATGTGCATTTATGTGCATATTCAATAGGACGGCCAGATTAAGAGAGCGGCATTAAAAACTGAGTCAGGGACAGACCAAACGCTCATCTTTCATGTCTGGTTTAGTGGCGGCATTCTGCTGCCGTGGATTGAAGTACAAAGAGAAGTAAAAAGAAAAAAAAAGTGAGGCAGGAAGAAGGAGAGAAGAGAGGAAGAATTACAAAATGAAAGATGAGGAAGGGGCAAACTAGACAGAGACGAGGTAAAAAGGGTTAGAGAGAAACATTATCTTTTGATGTACTCCAGTGAAACAGCTCATTACAAACCAGAGCAACAAAAGAAAGTAGCCTGTAAAAATTCTCCAACTCCCACACACAACCCACAAACACAGGCACGACAGCATAACTGAGGAGAATACAAAACAATCTACAGTAGCCCACAGAGGCTCAATTGACGTTTTAAAACATACAGTGAGAGACAGAGACAGGTAGACAGAGAAAGCAAAAAGACAAGGACTAAAGAGATGTGAAACATTTTGGCATTTTTCTGGCCCAGTGCACTGAGCGTATTCCAGGATGGAGCAAATTCTTTATACTCCTTCTCCCCTAGGCCTCAATCTGCCTTTCAGCTACCTCTCTCCCTCCCTCCCTCTCTCTCTCTCTCTCTTTCCCCCCTCTCTTATCCATTCACTTTCTCAACACCCCTCCCCACTTCCCCTTCTGTGGATTTACACCCACCTCCTCCAAATTCCACTCAGTTATTTTCATTTTGGGGTAATATTTATTCCGCCGATGTTTATTCATGACACAAGGTTCTGAGAGAGAGATAAGAAGCCAAGTGCTGAGCTGGCCCGAGGGCTGTGAGGGCTCCAAGTCAGTCAGCACACACACACACTCACACACACAACACACATGCACATAAACACATAAAAAAAGAACCTACTGTTTGCATAAGCATACACACACGCTAACTCTCCCACAAAAACACACACACTACGTTTTCAGCTTCTCATCACGTACAAACTGAGGCGTTTTGTCCGTGAAACGCCACTATCGTTATCAGATTGAGACTGAGCCGGCTGCCTCCCTTTGCCGGTTCTGTTTGTCAAGGAGAAAAATTTTTTTGGTTTGTTTTTGAGATGTCAGTACCAAAACATGCCTGACCCTCATCTGTCAGCAGTGTTTATCATGATGTCATGACAGACACACACACACACACACACACCATGAGGGAGGCTGTGTTTCTTTTCCAAAACCTCCCTCCTACGCGTAGTTGCCTACTTGGTGCTTCTGTGTATGCAAGTTTGCATGTGTGCGTCGACAGATTTGCAGTTTAAATGGCCAGAGGGAGAGACGTGATGCACAGAAAATGAGGCATTTGTCTCTCGGAGTGGGTTAAAATCCTTCTTGTTCTCCCTCACTGGCTCCCAAATCTGCTCAGCCACTTTTCTATTTCTACACCTTTCTCTAAGTCCCCAGACAATACACACCAATCTGATCCCTTTCTGTGTCTCCTGCACCTTTTCCACCTTTCCAAATTCTGAGAGTCTGAGCTTGTGTTTGGCATTGGGCTGGTGCCTGCCTGTTAGATCACAATGGTCCTAAAATAACTATCTATAATCACACTTTGAGGTTTAATTGGTTCCATAGAGTTTCATGGAGTTCCATAGACTATAGGATGACTATAACAATAAACCATGTTTGGACAACAATGTACATAGATGGCAAAATATCCATTGTGTTCCCATAGATTAACTCCCATGTCCAATGTTAACATCTTAGGCTACCCACATTAAGTTCTAATGACCCAGTATGCATTGTTTTGGTGTTTTGCAAAATGCCTAGTCACTGAAACACTGTTGAAAAAGCTATAAGTTACCTGGATGCCTAAAAATCTTTCACTTTAAGTCATTTAAAGGTCCAGTGTGTAACATTTAAGATCTGTTGGCTTGTGCAAGAGTGATATGAGAGTGTTATATTCTGCAACTACACCACATCCTATACACTGGTCCTTTAATCAAATAACCTATAGACGTCTGGATGTCTATTGACCTGCAAATCTCATTTAAAGATTTTGAAAAATAGGACCTCTGTAAACAATTCTTAGAGTTCCTGAAAACTCATTTCCTCAATCAGCTTCTTCATATAAGAGAACATGAACATACAATTGTCTTTTAGAACAGAGTTGGTTCACATGGGAAATTTCTCGTGTTTTTGTCTGTACTATTTTCACTGCAGTGGGCAAGGCTCAGTTGGAGTATGGTATATAAGGTAAGGTATGTGAGTTTGATTAGAAAATCTGATCTGGTCTGAAAATCTGATGACACAAATCTGATCAAACCACATTCATACAGTCCTCATGAAGCAGATCAGCTGAATTTTTGAATGTTAAACTCTTAACAAAAAAGCTTATGAATGTTTTCCCCCAAATTAGCCATAAATATTTAATGTTATAGGGGAGAATTTAAGATTTAAACCCGGGGGTCCAGTGTAAGATACTAAAATTGATTGCACAATGCAGGGACAGATTTGCAGTATTTGTAGAAACAATCCTACTACATCAACTTCAATTAATAATATTTATTTTTTATGAAAGAAAACCATATAATAAAAAATACTAACACACATGTGTGACATCATTACGTTAGTCTAGTCCCTTAATGTAGTATATATAATCTGCCACGGACACATACTCAAAACAGAATACAGTGATTAGGTTAGCAGACATTTTTCATGTCATTTTTATATGTAAGAAAATCCTCTTGGATGTTAAAAAAATAAAAACTATTTCCTGGTCTAACCATCACAACATTTTCAGACAGGAAACCTGAAGTGACCAGGGAAAATATTTGGACCACGAACACCACCTGCGGGATGTTTGGCGCAGGTGCAACATATTTTGGTTTATCTGAGGATGCAGATGTGCAAAAAAATAATTTGGGTCAGACAAAAATAAGCGACTCCAAAAATAGTTTAAATATATATATTTTAAAAAATGGTATCACTGTGATTCAGTGTGTATTTTCCACAAGATAAAACAAGTTTATTGAGCAAGCCCAACTCAAAATCCCTGCTTCAGGCTGCAAAGCCATTGCCTCAGAGCCTGAGGTTATTTATGTAACAGAATGAAAACATATCTTGAAAAGTCTTGACATTGAGCCTTTCCACCACTAGATGGAGAAGTGGGACAGGGGGAGAAAATAATATGGAAATAATGGTCCTTTTCTCCACTGGATTTGATCCCAATTTCAGGCTGCACGTACACCGCTCTTCTGCAGCCCTGAAGCAGACAGCCTGGTTCATTGAACGTCATATGATAAGGCTGGAGGAGAGCCAGCAGGGCCCCCATTTGGAGAGGAGGACCCACATCTCAGTCAACGCGCGCAGCCAGGGCCCCCTTTATCTCTACAAGGCAGGGAGGCGTATCCTCCCCCCCCCCCCCCCCCTTTC